AATGTATAGTGAGATGAGCTGCAAACTTCAGCCGCTCATGCAACCACTTTGGCAAATCATCATGTTGGATTCGTATGCATACAGTTGATATTCGAATAGAACAGAAAATTACTCTCCACTATATAAATCTCTATTTCTGATATTACGAACGGGAGCACACGCACATTATTTTGTTCATATGTAACGTATGAATGTGCGACCAACTTCTTTGCACACAAAGGGGAGAGACGAAATATAATAGAAATGTTCTGTGATTTGAGCTGCAAATATGTGAGCACAACTAACAAGTATAGCGGCTAACAGAAGCAAATTAATTGAGTTTTCATAGACAATTATATTTAATTGTTTTTGCTAAAACTTTAAAAATATATATTTATATGGAAATGTAATAAATAATAATAATTCTTGATGTAAAGATACTTAATAAATTTATATACCTATGTTATTTAACATTTTGCAAATTATATTAGGGTGTTCACCGCACACCTCCGCACCTTAGAGCAGTCGTCACTGAGTGAGAGCTAGGTCCAAATGATCTGGACACATGATGGTTCATCTGGCCTTTACTGACGTTCATCAGGTGGACAGTTGAGGTTGGATGAGCAAGGTGACATTGGTTAAGTTACCTTTCGTTGGGCCTATGCTGACAAAGAGTAAGTTAACCAGCCAATCGGATTTTTCATCTGGTCATTGCTGATGGAAAAAGACATAGGCCACACACATGCCATGTGAACAAGCACAAAAGAAAAGTAATTTGATTCTTTTGTTTTGCGCAACTGAAATTTGTAAAGTGCAATAACTTGCATTGGAATTTCATTATTCCGAGTAATTATTAAATAATAATAATAAATTCGTATTTTTAAATTAATTAAAATGCATATTAAGCATTTTAATATAAAAATTACTAGGAGAACATAATATTCAGGTAGGTTAGTGTTTAAGTTAGAATAAGAATAAATACTGTAAAAATTTAATAAAGAAATTCAGATTCAACCTAAACATTGAGTCTCTTGCTTTAAATTATTCAAGTTGCCTAGTTGCAACATAGATATATTCGCCTCGTTGCGAACAATAAAGGCGCCTCGCTGCGCTAGGGAAATACTTACTTAACTCTACACTTCTAAACTCATTACAATCCAAACCTTCAACTACATTTTCATAAGCATTTGTGATTTCGTACCATTGTAAGCATTTGTGATTTCGCACCATTGCAAGTTTAGCATTGCTGACTTCGACAACTGCAACGCTTCCCAATGGTTAAAGTCGCTTCCAAGGTTTCCAACGCTTACAACGATTTCGACGTACCATTCGTGGTTTCGCAGCATTGCAGGTTTAGCATTGCTGATTTTGACTACTCCAACGCTTCCCAACGATTACAATCGCTCCCAACGTTTCCAACGCTGTTCAAGAATCTCGACGCGCTATTTGGAATTTCGCACCATTGCAGGTTCTACATTGCTGACTTCAACAATCTCAACGACCCCAACGTTTCCAACGCTTACAACGATTTCGACGAGTATAACGCTTTCGACGCTGACGCCGATTTCAACGATTCCAACGCTTTCAATTCTTACGCTCTTGATTCTATTTCTATCTATAACTTTAAGGCTTGTCAAAACAAATTTTACTATGTTATCATAAAACACATAACACAGTGTCTTATTCTTTACTATATTAAATTCTTATAACGTACCCTGGCATACTCGCTGAGTTATACCCCAGCTATAGACAGTCGTTACAAACTTCACTTTTTAAAATACCTCAGACCGAGAAATCTAAAATGTTTATATCAGGTGAACACGGTGGCCGCTGTGGTGAGTGGTGCTGAATCCTGTTGGAATATGCAACGCCTGCGATCGAAATGTTCATTCTCCCAGAGTTTTAGTGCTCCCTCTAATAAAAATTCCCGATGGATTTGGGCATATATTTTTGCCCAACGGTCGATTAACACAAGCGGAGAGTGACTATCAGTGGCGCCTGCTTTCTGGTAGCAATTTGTGTGTTTAAATTTTCAACTGACCTCTCCGTCAAGTAAACTCGATAATTTTGTTTGTTTACTTAACATATAAATACACTTTCAATAATGCAGTTTCACGTTCGACGTTAAATCTTATATATAAAATTAACATTGTCACAATGTTAGTTACCGTACTCCTCCGAAACGGCTTTACCGATTTTTACCAAATTTTATATGCATATTCAGTAGGTCTGAGAATCGGCTACTTTCTATTTTTCATACCGCTAAAGTGATTAGGGTGTCCCTATCCAGCAAAAATATCTTTATTGCTTTAACAAAAATTTTTTTATATTTTTGACATAAATTTTTTCATATTTTTGAAAAAGAAAACTTGCTATGATATGAAAAGTTGTTGTCTATGAAAATACTGAATTCATAAAACTGCCTCTAATTTCTGCACTATCGTTGATTCCCAAAATGCTCTCATTGACCGCGTATTTCCAGATGTACACATACAATACATAAATCATGGGTGGCTGGCAGAAAGAGCCATTAGCAGCAAAAAAACATGGACGTTGATGAATTAAATTTCAAGATAAAACAGACATTGCCGGGCGACTTAATATCATACAAATCGATCGATACAGTTTGTGATACCAACGAAGTTGTAAACTATCCAGCAGAGTTTTTAAACTCACTGGATTTGCCAGGCATGCCACCACACATTTTACGACTGAAAGTTGGATCACCGATTATTTTACTTCGGAATTTGAACCCACCACGGCTATGCAATAGTACGCGATTGGTAATTAAAAAATTGATGAAAAACATTATCGAAGCCCCCATTTTGAATGGCAAGGTCCGAAACGAAAAAGTTTTATTGTCACGAATTCCAATGATTCTCACAGACAAGCCAATTTAATTCAAACGCGTTCAATTTCCTATTAGATTGGCATTTGCAAAGACCATCAATAAGTCACAAGGCCAAACGATGTCTGTTTGCGGTCTTATATATAAAATTTCCATGTCACGGCTCCTCCGTACTCCTCCGAAACGGCTTTACCGATTTTTACCAAATTTTATATGCGTATTCAGTAGGTCTGAGAATCGGCTACTATCTATTTTTCATACCGCTAAAGTGATTAGGGAGTCACATGGGCTCAAACAAAAAAATGGATGCCCCGCAAGCAAGTTTCACCAGTTGATGCATGTCTCAATTTATTTAAATCGAGTGCTTTTATCTTCGACTGTTGTTGGTTAATGTTACTGGCCCATTATCATTATTATTATTTACAGTCAATCCAAGACAATTTAAATTTGAAGATACAACAGTTGTTGCCAGGGAACTTGGTATCATACAAATCTATTGATTTTAAATTAATAATTTAATAAATAAACTATAATAACTTAAAATAATATTGTTTGGCGTTTGTTATTTTTATTTTCCTTTTCGTTCATAGCGCTCCATGCCTATTTCATGCATATACCACATACTTACACACTTATAATAAGTAAGTTACTTTTTGTCTACACTAGAATTTATCTAGAAACTAGAAATAATTTATAAGGCAAAACAACGTTTGTCGGGTTATCTAGTTAAATATATAATTACTCAAAAAATAAAAATTAAAATTTCGAAATTTTTCAATCAAATAAAAAAATTCCTATTAACAAAAGCAATTATACAAAGTATGAAATAATAATTAAATTCCAGTTTGTAATCTTTTAGGTTAATCTTTTAGGTTGAATCCTCGTCCTAAGATTAACGCCAGAGTTGATATTAATCTACCTTCAATAAATAAATATAAAGCAAGAATATTCATTCTGGAAACTTTTAAAATCGATAAAATTAGTATAAAAATTACATTTAATTCAAATAGAAAATAATAGAAAATACTCCAATTAATACTATTATAAAACAAATTAATAATTAGTCAAATTAATTAATTATTATTATTTAAGTTTTAATTGTTTAACAAAAACATTCTCAAATATGCAAAACCAAAACGTTCTTGTCTATTTCTATTATGAGTTATTCAAATTAAAATCAATACCGCATATGAAATCACATGTTTATTATTATCGTATGTGCGTTTATATTCTCTTTGGTTCATATTTTCCTTCGAATGCCGCTCTGAGAATTTGAGTGCCTAAAAAGATCTACCAATAGACCCGCAGTGTGATCAGCGAATTTATTCCTGATGCACATTCTGTGTATTAAATACTCATTGATTGTGGCTTTTCCAGAAACCTTTTTGGCATCTTCAGTTATCTGTTACTTGTAGGAGCATTCGAAAAGTTTTTGTAGATAATAGGTCTGTTCCACGAGCTACACATAGTAACTTTGAGTAACACTGTGTATACACAAGTGCGTTCCACGAACAAATTTGTGAGTAAATGAGAGCATCTGAGAGAGCGTAACATCCCTGTCGAAATTTGAAAATGTTACGCAGACTTTACTCATGCATTTTATATGAAGTAAAATTTGTGTTTATGTGTAAATCAGCTGTTATGGTTTGAATTCAAATTTTTGTATTGTTTGTTTGCGCGGCATTTGTGAATATAAAAAAATTCTGCATTTTTAATTGTAACAATTGTAATAAATAAATATTGAAATGGATAAAACCATAATAAATATTTTATTAAGTGATTTAAGTAACACAACACAACCAGAATATAACGTAGTTAATACACTTCGAGATAGTGACTCTGACGATGATGTAGAATTGGTGTATTCGATATTACATAAAAAAAAAAGAAAACGTGTGTGTATAAAAAATTATATACAAGATGTTGTTTACAAATATGACGACAAGGAATTCAAAACTCATTTCCGCATTTCGTGGATCCTTTTTAATTCTTTGGCTATAAAATTTCAAAATAGTACCGACTTTATTGCACTGCGAGTAAGTGAGCTGAACATTTCTTCAGAAGCTCACGTTGCTGTTTTTTATGGTTTGCTGGTCACGAAGCATATTGTTTTAGAGATTTATCAGATCGCTTTAATCTTTCTTTATCGTCAGCAAACCGAGTTATAAGAAGGATGAGAACTTTCTTTAGCAACATATGTCCGGATATAATTGCATGGCCTAGCACATCAAAAAAGGAAGAAGCAAGTACATTTTTCCGAAGCTTATGCAATTTTCCATAAGTTATAGGTAAGGATTTATGTGCATATTAACGCTGCATATATATTAATACATGTTACTTTGCAGGTTGCCTAGATGGCACTCGTATAACTATTGATCCTACTGGAGATCGTAAGGACGACTACATTGACAGAAAAGGAAATATTTCATTATGCTTGCAAGCCATCTGTGATGAAAACAGAAAATTTATTAGCATATTTGTCGGACATCCAGGCTCCTGTCATGACAGTTGGGTCTTACAAAACTCTCCTATTTATATGCGACTACCATCGAAGTGTGGAGGTAAGTTCTTTGGAAAAAGAAATGAGATTTATTAAAACCTCTTACGTTTACAGAATACTATCTACTGGCTGATTCCGCATACCCCTGTACACAACACATCATTACGCCATATAAAGACAACGGGCGTCTTACTCGTGCACAAAATAATTTCAATAGAAAATTGGGGTCAGGTCGAATACTAATAGAAAATGCATTTGGTATTTTAAAACAACGTTTTAGACAGCTACTGTGTCACTTTATAAGAGTATGTTGTGTTTTGCACTATCTTGCAAATGGAAACGACTTAGAATTCACATTTTCAGAACAATCTGAGGAAGATAATGATGTCAACAACCAGATCCCTTTTAGATCAAGTATCGTTAGAGATTCAATTTGTAATGAATTACAAACACAAAATAACTTGGATTAAAGTGTTTATTTGTATATTGCTTATTTTTCATTAATTAATTTTATTAATATTGCAATAAAGAACTTAATTCTAATTAATATATTAACATCACATTTTATAAATATATACTTAATTCTATCTTAGCTTTAAAATTACATTATTTAAATAAATTTTTAATTCTAACTAAACATAAAGACTATAATATTAAAAGTAAATATGTTTTTAACATAATGTGTCCTAATAATAATAATATGTAATATATTAAAATAAGTTTAAAAATAAATAAATATAATATATTAATTATTTTATTATTAATGTGTTTGTCTGTTATTTTTCAATTTCTATTTCTACTGTTTTGTTTTTCAAAAAACAGCCGTTTTCACCAGACTTTACACAAAGCTGTTCCATGAAAATTTGTGTAAAGAGCGTAATCTGGCACTTTATTTGTGTTACGCTCTCAGTTTGTGCTTTACTTCTGTTTTACTCATGGTTTACTATGTGTAGCTCGTGGAACAGACCTAATGTGTTTTAAAAGTGTATAAATAATACCTTGATCAATTGGCTGGAGTAAAGCAGTGGTATCTTTCGGCAAAAATTGCAGTTTGATTTTTAAGAGAAATTGCAAATGGCGTATTGGGTGTGTTGGTGTGTTGGTGTGTTGTCTAAAAGGAGTAGAGCTTTATAAGATAAATTGTTCTCGTCTAAATATGTTTTACTTTCTAAATAGAAATATGTATGAACCCATTCTTCAAACAAGTTAACATTATGAACATTAGAAACACAATGCATAACTAAATACTTGCACATGAACACACCTCTTGATTCAGTGCTACTAAAATCCCACTTTTTTGGTATACATTTGGTCTGCACACTAATTATTTACTCAGAAGCAACTCATATATATACTATACAAAATAATATTATAAATAAATTTTCCAATTTTTCTGAACCGTTAAACGAGATAGTTTTTGACTGTTAAGCGAAACATGGTCATAAATGTGGTTGGACTGTTAGCGAGTCTGCCGTTAAACGAGGCAGCTGTAAACCGAGATATAAGTGTATTAAGCCATGAAAACTTTTGCATTCGCTTAAAAATTTTACCTGTTTGTGTAATAAGTTTACTCATAAAGTTTAAATATTTATATATCTAAAAATTAGGATTAATACTCAATCTTGAAAGTTAGATAGATAAACAGAGGTCACAAATGAACAAAAGATATTAGCATTTCATTGTACCAAGTCACGCTTACAGTTTAATATAAATATATAAAAATTTTGAATGTTTTAAAAACATTTAATTAATGATTATTGAACCACCTTAATTTTATTATTATTTGTTATTATTTTATTATTTATTTATTGTTCTAACTTACAACTATTTATTTTTCTGTATCTGATTTATTTTTAAATTTCGAAATAAACTCTAAATTTGTGAATTCAACATAAATTAACTGTTAGTATATGCAAAATTAAGTAAATATATTTACAATGATAATTCTAATTTCTGTATTATATTATGTAGATCCATTCTGTAAGACATTATAAACGTTTAGTTAAAAAGAAAAAGTAAGAAAAAGGAAAATCTCTTCAAGTCTCTACTAACAATTCCACAAAATAATATTCTTTTATATAAATATGTCAATAAGTTGATATATAAGTATGTTAATATGTTAATATGTAAAAATGTTAATATATAAATATGTAAATAAGTTAACATGTAAATAAGTTAATATTTTAATAAGTTAATATTTAAATAAGTTAATATGTTTAAACACGGTGATTGTATTTAAACTCCTCCGAAACGGCTTGACCAATTTTCATAAAACTTTTTGTGTATATTTGGTAGGTATGAGAATAGGTCGTAAAGTATATTTCATACCGCTAAAGTGATTAGGGTAGCCCTATCCAGCAAAAATATCTTTATTGCTTTAACAAAAATTTTTTTATTTTTTTGACATATATTTTTTTTATATTTTTGAAAAAGAAAAAATTTTTTTATTATTTTATGTAACTACGCCAACAAGTACATCGAGCATTTCATTCACTTCGTTTCTTCTTCGTCTTGCGTTCAAGTACGAGCCAGATATTGAATATTCCATGTCATTGAATATTCAGCGCTTGCTCGCAATGGCATGTATATACCTATGTGTTAAAGTAATTGGGAGTTTCATTTGAAAAATCAGCGTAAGGAATTACCATTCAGCGCTGAAGTATTCGATTGCCTCAGCGCTGAAAGTCCCGCTGGGTATTATTGTGAATCTGATTCATTAACACCGGCATTCGTTAACGAACATACTTATGAATCATTTCTGTGGCGTATGTGAATGAGTATAAGTAGTGTGTGAGAAAAACATTTATATGGATTTAGATTTAGTTTTTTTCGAGTGCGCTTTGAGTGTTAAAATTATGACAAGTTGCAGCTCTCTGATATGATAGTATAAAAAGCTATCATCAAATGAGAACAATCAGTTGCAAGTATATAGGTAAAACAATAAACAATGAGCTGACAAATGTGATGCATTACCAATTTCTTTTATTTACGATCCATACCGTTTCAGTGAAGAAGATTCAAACCACTACTTGCTGAAACACAGATATTATAGTATTCCGTTTTAAAAATAACGGTGGAAACAATATGAGTAAAAAACAATGCCAAAATTTTTTTTGTTTGTAATCTATCCCCAAAAAGCATTTCATATATAATATGGTTTTGTTAATAAAAAAATATTCTAACTAATTTACATGTTTGTGCTTAAAGAATATAATAACTTCTGTAGAACCCTTTTAATTACGACACGCTTAAAAAAATTATAAGCTCAATCTTCTGTCAGTTTACGTCAGCAAATGATCAGCTGTCGTTTAATATGCATGTTTTGCGTTTATAAATTTATATTTTTATAAATTATAAATTCAAGCATGGTCATGGTTTCAAGTAAAGTTTTTTTTCTTTTTTTTACAGGAATTTTTTTTCTAAATTGTCAACAAATATTTGCAAGAAGTAAAACGAATTGATATATTATTAAAAATTTAATAAAACATTTTAATTTCACAGCTCGATATGAGGAGTTTACGTTCAGCGACTGCCTAAATACACTTGCAACTTGTCCAGCTTTCTGCCAAAAACAAGGTTATCCCTACGGAGGCTGCGATTGTGTTACCTTTAAATGTGTGTGCGCAAACATGAATCTCGATTTTTGCCAATTTCAACATAATCGACTACATATATAAAAAAAACAATGAAGTAACCATGGCCTATAATTTTTATTTTATAAATTATTACAATTTATTTATGAATACAGTGATTAAATTTTAACACGAAACATTTCGTAGATTGTCATGCGTAATAGTAATAATTTAAAAAAATATTATATTTAACTATAAAAATATAACAAAGTTATATATGGACATGAAATAAAATTATATATCAAACTTTTATAAATACTCAACAAGAACCTATGGATTATGTAAAATCGCTAATATACACAGAAACAATGAACATAACACATACTTAAAAAAAATTTTTCTTATTCTAACTTAATAAAAAAAAATTACAAATAAAGTTAGCATTTGTAAAATATTACCGAATATTTTAAATAATTTAAAGCTAAATAACTACAGTTTCAGTCGTCTTAACAAATTTTTTTAAAAAAAAATATTTTGTTTACTTTTACTATTTATATCACACGCTTTGTCTTTTTATTTTTTAGTGGCCCGTATTTTTAAAGGACTGCACCTTAGCGTATACCTTCTTGCATCCCGAATTTGTCACATTAACTGTTTCCACAATTTCGTCAAAATCCTGTAGACTCAATGTTATGTTCGCCAACAAAGCTTCTCGCTTTATGCAATCCTTTAATTCGTTATAACCAAAACGTTTAAAATTAATTGTTTTAGTTTGTGGTAAATTTTGCAAGAGATTATAATCTTTTAAATATGAAGCGTCGGATGACATGGTGTTTAAAATGTATACATAAATTATAATAGTATATTTGTTTGCTGCAACCAAATCATTGGTTATTATTTTGTTTAAAGTGTCTGTAACGTATGCAGAATTTGGCTGCAAGTTGTCGATAACAACCAAATTACGTCCACATTGATGAAGTTTTTCTTTTATATTCGCAAGAATATGCATGCGGCTTTCTTTGTTTTTTACATATGCATTCCAAGCATAGGACTGTATATTTTCCTGCCAAGGAAAATATTTTTCTAAATTACGTACAAACAAACTTTTTCCTACACCAACTGCACCAACCACCGCAAGTGAAATAAATCGACTTTCATTACGTAAATATATTTCGAGTTGCTGCAAAACGTTATCCTGATTTATTATATGTTTTTGAATGTTGATAAATAATGTACGAGTATCCAATATGCGATTGCAGTATTCAGCATGACCGTGCGATATTTGCATATATTGTTTTTGATACGTATTTAGGAAATTGTATACAAAGTTCCCATATGCATTAAATCCATAGTATGGGAGTACCATGCTAATTGTTAGAATCACAAATATAAACAAAATTAAAATTTTTCTATCATTTTTTCTCCATTTTTGTGCTATATCGGTACTCCCATTCTCAACAAGGCGGCGTAATTTTCGATGTTTCCTAGGCTTTTTGCGCTAATATTAAAGAAATATAAAAAAGTAAAAATTATTCAAAAATACTACGTAAAATCATACCACTTTTTCAACACCATTATTTTTCGAAATACTCATTTTGAATACATCAAATAACACTTATAAATCTAAAACAGTATTTTACATTGGTTGCGTTACCAACAATTTTAGCGCAATTTTATTTGTCAGATACAGTTTAAAAAATATTTAAACAATTCACAATAGAGCTAATTTTTTATGATATAATCAAAGAATACCTTCCAAAGAACGGAAACTCCGCCCACTTCGAAAGTAACAAAAGAAATTGCTTTTGAAGATGAATTTTTTATAACATTTTGCACATGTATTGAATTCATGTTTCTTAACACGATAACTTTAAATTATACTACGCTTCCACTGCTTACTTAGTAAGGAAGTTAATAACATTGAGCTTTTTGTCGTTTACAAGTTACATAAGGAATGGGGAAGAGCTTTTATATGTCAACAATTTCTTGTTGTACAACTTTTCTTTGTTTACATATAATTTATAAACAGTTGACATTAAATTTTGTATTGTTAAAAAAACGCAGAACATTTAAATAATTTAATTGCATGTTTGTTATATTGTTTATAACTAAAATGTAGGAGTTGTTGCATATAGAATGAACGTGCAATGATGTATCAAGATATACGAATTATTTAATATTCAGCAACATTTATTTCAACTTATAATAACACTAATTACTTATAAATTAAAAATAAAATGCACTATAACTATATTAATAATAAATAAAATAAAGACATACAAAAATTAAAAATAAAACACACTATAATTATATTAGGCCTTTTCTTTTGTAAGCATATCACAAAAGTACAACCATTTATTTTAAAAATAACATATGAAACAACAACACATATGATTTTCCCTTTCCTTGATAATCTGTTTTGTACTGGCCCAGTTTATTCCACAAAAGGGTTTAGGGCCTAAAAAAGTAGTTGATGCAGTTTTGGCTAGCTCATGGGCTTTTTAATTTCCCAAAACTCCCCTGTGGCCCGAAACCCAGTAAAGGCTTACCTTATTCCGAGCTGCAAGTGATTGCAGAAGTTTTGATTTCAAAGTCCAACAAGATAGATCTTTAAGAGCAGACTGGCTGTCAGAGTAAATAACAATTCTCGAGCCAGAAGGTTTTTTGATTAAATTGGATAAAAATTTTCAGTCATCTGACAAATGCCAGGTGACTGCGAACATTCAAATTTATAGTCCGAGTTGTAGTTAAGCCCCTACACTACGTCAAGGTGCCTACCGCGTAGGAAAAACCGATTAACTAATAAGCAGCTTAAATTGCATGGTTGCCAAGACTAAAAATTCGTCTATTGTGAAAGGTATTTGGAAGTATGTACATAGCAAAGAATACCTTACCAGAACGGCTACTCCATTGTGAACTAAAATTTGTTTTTTCGCACAACAGTAAAAAGTTCACTAACACCAGCTGAAATCACTAAAATTTTTCACCTTTTTCCGATACTTCAGGTACTTTTGAGAACGGAATATTTCGGAAAGTTTACCACGATGAATATAAGAAAGAGTTTGATTTTGTTTTTTGGTTTTGATTTTATGAGAGAAATATAAAATTTTATTGCGCCAAATCATACAAAAGTTACCGCTCAAATACTTAATAAAAAGTACTTAAAATTGGCAGTACATAGCAGCATATTGTAGCAAAAACTATAATAAACTGTGAAAATTAAATTTAATATTTATATATAAACAGGGAAAAAATGTGTTAAGGGATGTAAATATTATAAATCAATTTATACCGAAATTCCCAGAAAACAATGAGGAACGAAGGTAATCTTTGCATTTCAAGTTTTTGTGTCATAAGTGTTTTGCATAATTGTTTCTGTGCGAGATAGCGTCGACGAAATGTGCATGAAGATAGCGTCGACGATAAGTCCAAAATGGAATTCGAACATTTTTCGCCGCATGAAAAATGCAGAATACTTTAATTAAGGAAAAATTTATTATCTTATTAAATTTAATGCAGCAAAAGGCATTATTAAGTAGAAAATTGAATTAATTTACTATCTACATTCAACTTTTATGTATAAATAATGTAATTTGTATGAAAAATGAAAAATAAAAATTAGCCCCAAAAGGTGGGGTCACTAACTTATTAATAACTTTTAAACTAGAGGTAACATTTTTTTCTTTTACGGCTCATTTGAAAGAGGATAAAATTACTTTTCATATAATGCAAAGTTATGTGCGTGAAGATAGCGTCGACGATAAGTCCAAAATGGAATTGGAACATTTTTCGCCGCGTGAAAAATGCAGTATAGTTTAATTAAGGAAAAATTTATTATTTTATTAAATTTAATGCAGCAAAAGGCATTATTAAGTAGAAAATTGAATTAATTTACTATCTACATTTTTTGTATGAAAAATGAAAAATAAAAATCAGCCCCAAAAGATGGGATCACTAATTTATAAATAACTTTTAAACTAGAAGTACCATTTTTTTCTTTTATGGCTCATTCGAAAGAGGATAAAATTACCTTTCATATAATGCAAAATTTTGTATAGGTTGTTCGATTAACTTAGGAGCAGTGCTGCGATGAAGATAGAGATGTTATTTTCAAACATTATTTAATTAAAACTTTGTTACTTGAACAAAAATTATGAACTAAAAAGCTTCTAACAATAAAAAATATGTTTGTTTTTCTAAATATAATCGCTTTTTACATAATATAGAAAAAAATTTCTTCAAAATAAGGAAAATAAAATTTTGTAAAAATAGGTTACTTAACAAAATTAATTATATCTTTAAAAGCAAAGATACCATGTTTCTGCAAATTAGCTTACTCGAAAGAGGACACTTCTAGCTTTCATTTGATGTAATAATATTAATAGATAGGTCGATTAACTTAAAAGTTATTGAGTGCCAAAGTTCAAAAACTAATTTTCTTTGATACAAAATAATTTATATCTTTAAAAGCAGAGATACCATTTTTCTGCAAATTAACTTAATCGAAAGAGGACACATCAAGCTTTCATTTGATATAATAATATTTATAGATTGGTCGATTAACTCAAAAGTTATTGAGTGCCAAAGTTCAGAAACTAATTTTCTTTGAAAAGAAAAACCTTTTATCTTAAAAAATCATATACCAGAAGTCAGAAAAATTTTAGTACAGAATAAACTTTAAATATAATACACTAATTATTACAATTATTTAAAAAAAAATAGAATATTCACATGCTAATTATAATTAATTTAAATGTGCGCTTACTTATTTATGCACAACAGTTGAAATTGCATTGATAAGTGTGGGATATTAAATGTCAAAATAGTTATCGTCGAACAGTTGAAATTGCACTGATGAAAAAGGGAAATGTAATGTCAAAATATAGTTAGCGTCGATTTTTTATTACGATGTCATTTCAAATTTTAATTAATTAAAACATTATTATTTAATTAAAAACTATGAAATAAAAGACAGATAACAGTAAAAAATATGTTTGGTTTTCTAAATATACTTAGTTTTTATATAGTATAGAGCAAATTTTCTTTAAAAATGGAAAGCAAATATTTGTAAAAACGAGGTTGCATTACAAAATTAATTATATCTTTAAAAGCAGAGATACCATTTTTCTGCAAATTAGCTTAATCGAAAGAGGACACTTCAGCTTTCATTTGATGTAATAATATTTATAGATTGGTCGATTAACTTAAAAGTTATTGAGTGCCAAAGTTCAGAAACTAATTTTCTTTGAAAAGAAAAACCTTTTATCTTAAAAAATCATATACCAGAAGTCAGAAAAATTTTAGTACAGAATAAACTTTGAATATAATACACTAATTATTACAATTATTTAAAAAAAATAGAATATTCACATATTAATTATAATTAATTCAAATGTGCGCTTACTTATTTATGCACAACAGTTGAAATTGCATTGATAAGTGTGGGATATTAAATGTCAAAATAGTTATCGTCGAACAGTTGAAATTGCACTGATGAAAAAGGGAAATGTAATGTCAAAATATAGTTAGCGTCGATTTCTTATTACGATGTTATTTCAAGTTTTAATTAATTAAAACATTATTATTTAATTAAAAACTATGAAATAAAAGACATATAACAGTAAAAAATATGTTTGGTTTTCTAAATATACTCAGTTTTTATATAGTATAGAGCAAATTTTCTTTAAAAATGGAAAGCAAATATTTGTAAAAACGAGGTTGCATTACAAAATTAATTATATCTTTAAAAGCAGAGGTAAAATTTTTCTACAAATTAGCTTAATCGAAAGAAGACACTTCTAGCTTTCATTTGATGTATTCATATATATAGATTGGTCGATTAACTTAAAAGTTATTGAGTGCCAAAGTTCAAAAACTAATTTTCTTTGATACAAAATTAATTATATCTTTAAAAGCAGAGATACCATTTTTCTGCAAATTAGCTTAATCGAAAGAGGACACATCAAGCTTTCAGTTGATGTAATAATATTTATAGATTGGTCGATTAACTTAAAAGTAATCGAGTGCCAAAGTTCAGAAACTAATTTTCTTTGAAAAGAAAAACCTTTTATCTTAAAAAATCATATACCAGAGGACAGAAAAATTTTAGTACAGAATAAACTTTGAATATAATACACTAATTATTACAATTATTTAAAAAAAATGGAATATTCACATATTAATTATAATTAATTCAAATGTGCGCTTGCTTATTTATGCACAACAGTTGAAATTGCATTGATAAGTGTGGGATATTAAATGTCAAAATAGTTATCGTCGAACAGTTGAAATTGCACTGATGAAAAAGGGAAATGTAATGTCAAAATATAGTTAGCGTCGATTTCTTATTACGATGTTATTTCAAGTTTTAATTAATTAAAACATTATTATTTAATTAAAAACTATGAAATAAAAGACATATAACAGTAAAAAATATGTTTAGTTTTCTAAATAAACTTAGTTTTTATATAGTATAGAGCAAATTTTCTTTAAAAATGGAAAGCAAAAATTTGTAAAAACGAGGTTGCATTACAAAATTAATTATATCTTTAAAAGCAGAGGTACCATTTTTCTGCAAATTAGCTTAATCGAAAGAAGACACTTCTAGCTTTCATTTGATGTATTCATATATATAGATTGGTCGATTAACTTAAAAGTTATTGAGTGCCAAAGTTCAAAAACTAATT